AATATGAACAGACCAATCACAAGCACTGAAATTGAAACTGTGATTAAAAATCTTCTAACAAACAAAAGCCCAAGACCATATGGCTTCACAGGCAAATTCTATCAAACATTTAGAGAAGAGCTAACACCTATCCTTCTCAAACTCTTCCAAAATATAGCAGAGGGAGGAACACTCCCAAACTCATTCTACGAGGCCACCATCACCTTGATACCAAAACCAGACAAGGATGTCACAAAGAAAGAAAACTACAGGCCAATATCACTGATGAACATAGATGCAAACATCCTCAACAAAATACTAGCAAACAGAATGCAACAGCACATTAAAAGAGACATACACCATGATCAAGTGGAGTTTATCCCAGGAATGCAAGAATTCTTCAATATACGCAAATCAATCAATGTGATACACCATATTAACAAATTGAAGGAGAAAAAGCATACGATCATCTCAGTAGATGCAGAAAAAGCTTTCGAAAAAATTCAACACCCATTTATGATAAAAACCCTCCAGAAAGTAGGCATAGAGGGAACTTTCCTCAACATAATAAAGGCCATATATGACAAACCCACAGCAAACATCATCCTCAATGGTGAAAAACTGAAAGCATTTCCACTAAGATCAGGAAGAAGACAAGGTTGACACTCTAATCACTATTATTCAACATAGTTTTGGAAGTTTTAGCCACAGCAATCAGAGAAGAAAAAGAAATAAAAGGAATCCAAATTGGAAAAAAAGAAGTAAAGCTGCCACTGTTTGCAGATGACATGATACTACACACAGAGAATCCTAAGGATGCTGCCAGAAAACTACTAGAGCTAATCAATGAATTTGGTAAAGTAGCAGGACACAAAATTTAATGCACAGAAATCTCTGGCATTCCTATATACTAATGATGAAAAATCTGAAAGTGAAATCAAGAAAACACTCCCATTTACCATTGCAACAAAAAGAATAAAATATCTAGGAATAAACCTACCTAAGGAGACAAAAGACCTGTATGCAGAAAATTATAAGACACTGATGAAAGAAATTAAAGATGATACAAACAGATGGAGAGATATACCATGTTCTTGGATTGGAAGAATCAACATTGTGAAAATGACTCTACTTCCCAAAGCAATCTATAGATTCAATGCAATCCCTATCAAACTACCACTGGCATTTTTCACAGAACTAGAACAAAAAATTTCACAATTTGTATGGAAACACAAAAGACCCCGAATAGCCAAAGCAATCTTGAGAAAGAAAAACTTATCTGGAAGAATCAGGCTCCTGGACTTCAGACTATACTACAAAGCTACAGTAATCAAAACAGTATGGTACTGGCACAAAAACAGAAATATAGATCAGTGGAACAGCATAGAAGGCCCAGAGATAAACCCACTCATATATGGTCACCTTATCTTTGATAAAGGAGGCAAGAATATACCATGGAGAAAAGACAGTCTCTTCAATAAGTGGTGCTGGGAAACCTGGACAGCTACATGTAAAAGAAAGAAATTAGAACACTCCGTAACACCATACACAAAAGTAAACTCAAAATGGGTTAAAGACCTAAATGTAAGGCCAGAAACTATCAAACTCTTAGAGAAAAACATAGGCAGAACACTCTATGACATAAATCACAGCAAGATCCTTTTTGACCCACCTCCTAGAGAAATGGAGATAAAAACAAAAATAAACAAATGGGACCTAATGAAACTTCAAAGCTTTTGCACAGCAAAGGAAACCATAAACAAGACCAAAAGACAGCCCTCAGAATGGGAGAAAATATTTGCAAATGAATCAACTGACAAAGGATTAATCTCTAAAATTTACAGGCAGCTCATGCAGCTCAATAACAAAAAAATAAACATCAACCCAATTCAAAAATGGGCAGAAGACCTAAATAGACATTTCTCCAAAGAAGATATACAGATTGCCAACAAACACATGAAAGAATGCTCAACATCACTAATCATTAGCAAAATGCAAATCAAAACTACAATGCAATATCATCTCACAACAGTCAGAATGGGCATCATTAAAAAATCTACAAACAATAAATGCTGGAGATATTGTGGAGAAAAGGGAACCCTCATACACTGTTGGTGGGAATGTAAATTGATACAGCCACTATGCAGAACAGTATGGAGGTTCCTTAAGAAACTTAAAGCAGAACTACCATATGACCCATCAATCCCACTACTGGGCATATACCCTGAGAAAACCATAATTCAAAAAGAGTCATGTACCACAATGTTCATTGCAGCTCTATTTACAATAGCCAGGACATGGAAGCAACCTATGTGTCCATCAACAGATGAATGGATAAAGAAGATGTAGCACATATATACAGTGGAATATTACTCAGCCATAAAAAGAAATGAAATTGAATTATTTGTAGTGAGGTGGATGGACCTACAGTCTGTCATACAGAGTGAATAAGTAAGTCAGAAAGTGAAAAACAAATACTGTATGCTTACACATATATATGGAATCTAAAAAAAAAAAAAAGAAAAGAAAAAGGGGTCATGAAGAGCCTAGGGGGAAGACAGGAATAAAGACACAGACCTACTAGAGAATGGACTTGAGGACATGGGGAGTGGAAAGGGTAAGCTGGGACAAAGTGAGAGAGTGGTAATATATATATAGACATATACACACTATCAAATGTAAAATAGATAGCTAGTGGGAAGCAGTCGCATAGCACAGGGAGATTAGCTCTGTGCTTTGTGACCAGCTAGAAAGGTTGGATAGGTAGGGTGAGAGGGAGGGAGACGCAAGAGGGAGGAGATATGGGGATATATGTATATGTATAACTGATTCACTTCGTTATAAAGCAAGAACTAACACACCATTGTAAAGCAATTATACTCCAATAAAAATGTTAAAAAAAAAAAAAAGACTTAATTTGTGGCCTTACATATGGTCTCTCCTGGAAAAAGTTCCCATGTACATTTGAGAAGACTATGTGTGCAACTGTAATTGGTAGAATCTTCTATATATGTCTATTAGATATATATATATTTGATTTATTAAGTTTTTAAGTGTTCTGTTTCCCTGCTTATCTTCTTTCTGGTTGCTCTACCCATTATTGAGTGTGGGGTATTGAAGTCTCCAACTATTACTGCAGAACAGTTTATTTTTCTGTTCAGTTCTGTTAGTTTTGCCTCAGATACTTTGATGGTCTGTTGTTAGGTAGAGAAATGTTTATAATTTTTATATATCTTCTTTCTGTATTGAAACTTTTCTTAATATATGTCTTCTTTGTCTCATAACTTTTTTTGATTTGAAGTCTATTTTGTCTGATATTAGTATAGTCACCCTGCTCTCTTTTGGTTTCTATTTGCATAGAATTGTTTTTTCTATCCTTTGACTTTTACCCTATTTGTATATTTGGATCTAAAGTGAGTTTCTTGTAGGTAGTACAGATTGGATCATATGTTCTTATCCATTTTGCTAATCTTGGTCTTTTGAAGATTTTAATCTGTTTACATTTAAAGTAACTAATAAGACTTCCTTCTGTCATTTTGCTATTTGTTTCCTATATGACTTATAGCTTTTTTGTCCCTCATTTCCTGAATTCCTGTCTTCCTTTATGCTTACTTTTTAAAAATATGTATTTATTTATTTTATTTTTGGCTGTGTCATGTCTTAGTTGCCACACACAGGATCTTTCATTGTGGCATGCAGGCTTCTCTCTAGTTGTGGCACCCGGGCTCTCTAGTTGTGGCTTGTGTGCTTAGTAGTTGTGGTGCACAGGCTTAGTTGCCCCATGGTATGTGAGATCTTAGTTCCCCGATCTGGGATGTACCTGCATCCCCTGCATTGGAAGGCGGATTCTTCACCACTGGACCACCAGGGAAGCCCCATGTTTAGTTAATTTTTTGTAGTGAATTGTTTAAATTTCTTTCTCATTTCTTTTTGTGTACATTCTATAGCTGTTTTCTATGTAGCTACAATGGGGATTACACTTAAAACCCTAAAGTTATAACACTTTAATTTGAATTTATACTAGTTTAACTTCAATAACATACAAACACTCTTCTTTTACACCTCTGTCCCAACCCCTTATGGTTATTTATATCACAAAATTACATCCTTATACATTATGTACCCAAAAACATAAATTAATAATTCTTTAAATTCACTAGCCTCTTAAATTATGTAGAGAACAAAATGCAGAGTTACAAACCAAAGTTACAATTATACTTGCTTTCAGACATTCTTTCATGAATGTCTCGTTCAGTATTTAAACCATGGCATCAATCTCTCAGCTGTGGGACTAACCTAAAAGTGAGGAACGGTCAACTGGGTCTAGAAGCCAAGAGGCAGAATCCATGCAAAGTAGGTGAGGAGGTAGGAAAGAAGCCCAGCCCAGAACGTCCTCGCTCTGTGGAAGGGGAGTATGTGAGCACCTCTTCCTCCTCTCTCCCCTTCCTTACAACTGTTTTTTTACACAGACTATGTGGAAGTTGCCCTAGAAGTGTTACAAGAAATATTTCTGATAAAGTTACTGATTCTTTCCAGGGGCATATAGAAAAGAGGGTGCCTCTTTAGAGTCAGTGATTGGGCTGAACGGAAAAATAGGTTTGTTCTGCTTACTGGCAAACTTAAGGAAAATTGACAGAGGCTACAGTTAATAAACAGTGCTGCAAAATCCATGAGGAGAGGAGGTTGTTTACGCCTTAGCACTGTGAGGTTGATGATGCCAACAGTTGTTCTAGGAGGCATTTCTCTGGTCCCCCTTCCGGACTGCTGGAGTTGGGCAATTTGGAATTTCAGGAGGGATGCTTTTTTATTGCCTTTTTTAAACCTGTGGGAGAGGGTTATCTCAGAAGGAAACTATTTCTTTCTGCCTCCCACTGCCCTCTCAGCCACTAGACTAAGCCACGGATATTGTATAAGCATAAGGCAATTATTAAATCAGTCTGTTCCATGTTATTGAAAATTTAATGTGCATATTACAAGGAAAAATATCAACTTTCTAATAATTACACCTACTTCTCTTGCAGAAATAGATGACAAGAGAGCGACCAACACACAAGCAGAAGTAAGTTTTGTTATACTCTGTATAAATGTGTCCAACCAACTAAAAACGCTACCAGTTTGATTTGATGTGATATAAAATATGGTATCAATATAACTGTGTTGTAATAACTATTTAATTTGCTTTCCCCTACTGAACAAACAGTAAAATGGTGTCATAAAATCTCCACCTCTAGGTTACCCTTGATTCTCCACCTATGAAATACTAACCCCTGGAAAAACTTCTAAAATAAACTACTGATTTTAAAGGCAAGATATGGTATTGATAATTTCAATTTAGTGACTGGTTGTGTACCATCACAGGTTGGGACAGCCAATGTTGGAACCCTGGAACAAGAAGGTGGGGGACAGACACCTCTTAAGGGTCCTCTGTTGTGTGGAGCCAAGAGCAGATCCTGAGGCCACTCTCCACATACACACGTAGGAGTTCAGACTGAAAATATGAACCAGGGACAGGGGGGCTAGGGGAGCTGATAACATAGCATACACAGAATACAAGAAAACGAGCAAACTTGTGCCCAGAAATGGAAAATATATTGAGTAGGAATCATGCAGACTTGATACTCAATTCCCATGGCCACATGAGTAGGCATCTAGCAAAACTCAGTGGAAAATCTAGAAAGAACAAAATACCAGAAAGTCTCTCTCAAGACTCTTCTAAAAATTTAATGAGATTGTAAATGTGAAATGCTTTGAAAACTAAACTCTTACATAAATATTTTTATTAGTTAATAAGTTTTACCACTGTTACTAAACAAACCAACTTTTCTGGAGAATTAATTTTCTACTTAATCTGTGAATATGTATATGGAAATAAACATATAAGAAAACCTGGAAGTGAGTGCTTCTTAAAATCAACCAAATGTGACAGAATACAGCAGAGGTACAACAGAAGGCTCAATCATCCACACATGTATACTAATGTAGAGTTGCCCTGCCTGCATCTGTGCATAATAGACTAGTATCAAAACACTCTATTTTGCAGAAATTTGCTTGTACCATTTGCTTTTATTGATATGGATTTGGTAACTATTTGGTTGAATTTTTTACTTTTTAATAGGTTGTTTTTGCATCAGCTAAATACCAACATCTTGATGACTCCTTTGAGGGCAATTAAGCTTTAGTATGTATGAGTAAAGATGCCTCAAGCTCTATTTACAACTTCGTGAAACAGTTTCTAGTTTTCTTCAGACTCTGTACATATGTTCTTTCTAACATGCATGGAAAGCCTAGAACAATCCTCAAAAAGTATCTTGTAACTATTTATACTTGAACTTTTCAAAGCAAAAATAATTGCTAAAACTCCTGCCTTTGACACACTGAAATATAAGTAGACACACCATTAAAAAGGAGTCTTTGACATAATCTGATCAAGGTGTAGACCATATATATATATAATTTATTATAATAAGTAATGCCTTATACATATAAAAATATCTATTTCTATCTAAACTTTAAATATTATTATTGTGGTTCTGACCCTGAAATATGTTCCTCTGTTCCAATTTGTATCATTTTTAGTGCAAAAATTTCTGCCTCAATAAATTAATTCTGATCCAGTGTGCTTAAGAGTGTTAAGCAGCAGTTTTTTTAGGAAAGAGCTTTTGAACATGTAAAAGAATATTACCTCAACATTGTAATTCCAAGTAAATGGAGCTATTACATTGAACATCTCAATTCCATAGGATTATAGACTGATATTACTTAGCAAGGACTCTCATTAACCCTCCAGAACCACTGACAATCCTATGAACAGATATAATTATACCATGGACATAGCTTTTGGAGTATATTTTGTCCTGGGACTTATGCTTTTCTCTAAAATGGAAAGGATTAGTACTATCTCTTTCTTTCTTTCTTTTTAAAATAAACTAATGTTACTAGGTGTTTATTTCCCTCAAAGGGCTGATGACATTGTACTTTTTATCCAAATATAAGACTTATTACTTTTTTCTCTCTATCCACAGAATGCATCCCCTAAGCAAAGGAAGCAGAGCGTGTACACACCACCCGCCATGAAAGGTACTGTTCATGTACTGTTTCCAGTTGTTGTGAATGCTGAGTTCATGGATGGCAGGCAGGCTGTTCTCAGGCGCCTTATACCTGCTTATAAGCTAGATCTATCTTACTGAAAGTAACATTACTGACTTTCAGTAACATATGTTATTTAAAACCTAGTTTCATCAAGAGATAAATAGGTGAAGAAGGGACAACTAGCGATGTCTCAAAATCTCAGTCTGGAAATTCAGATTTTCCAAAATACTGACAAAAGTTTTCTTTTACCCTTCCTCACATGTTTTCCCTGAAGAGATTTTTCTAGAATCCCTAATTACTCTTGCAAGTGTTGGCAGATGATTATCTTTTTTTCCTTGGCTTAAGCAAAGTATGTCTTGAATTTCAGACAGATACAGATACAGTAAAGTGTTGCTTCACTGCCCTGTGTCAGGAGCAGTTCTAAGAAACCCAGTCAAACAGCTATTAGCTGTACATGTAACAGCTGTTGAAATAGCAACTAAGAATGCTAGCTCAGATTCTGGTGTTCTCCCAGAATTTCCACCCCTCCCCCACCAAATTAGAACTGCTAGAAGAACATCTAAGTGTATCAGAATTTTGACCAACATCAATTCCAGGGAAGGTTTCTTTTATTTCTCACACAACAGTATTCCTGACATGAGGCAGAGTGTGTCCAATCCAGTAGCTCGTGTTCCAGCCTGGCACTTGGGCTGCTGGCCCAGTGACTCATCATGCTGTCATACAGCTCGGTTTCAACTACAGGAGAGGCCAGCTGAACAGCTTCCTCTGAAGTCTAGAGAGATGTCTAAATTGGGAGTGAAATTTTCCACGCTGTATCCTCTCTAGATTTGGGGCTTTTCTCTGAAAGAGAGGTGGGACATAAAGGGACACATTAATAGCTACTTTCCATAAACTTCTGTCCTGTGCAGCTATAAAATACAATGTTTGCTTGTTCATAAGACTGCAGTAAATAATGCAGTCATCAGCATTTTAGTTAATTCCAGGGTAATTATTGAGGCTATCAGGCATCCCTTTCTCAAGATCAGTGTAATCATTTTTGAAGATATTTCCCCTATTGTAAGTCATCTTGTACTTTTAAGACACATCAGTTTTGGCATGAATGGGTCCCAAAGAAAGATATATGTTCACTCATTTAATAATTTCCTCTGTTCTATTTTGGGTTAGCTTAACTAAATAAAGACTGTTCTCATGTCCTTAGAGAATAACAGCATTATTTTTAAAGGAAAAATCTTAAAATCAAGGCCCCAAAGGCTCATGGTTTTTATACTTAGCTCTCAAATATAAGAATGTGGGATGCTAACATTTAGGGAAGTTAGTCATATTGTACATTTTTACCCATAACCTTACTACTGTTGAGCCCTCCAATATGGTCATTCAATGATAATCATTTTCGGTCATGAGTTAAAGGCTTGAGAAAACACAGTAATTCTTTCATGAGGCTATTCGGGTATAATTACAAGCCACTTAGGTCCTCATTTATTACCTGTAAATACTTAGCAAAGTCGCCTGCTACTGATTAAAGAGAAAAGAGAGCTAAATCCACATATTTTATTCAGTCTACCTGTCCCTTAGAGCTAAAAATGAATATTTTGGGACAAAATTAAGCAATGGTAACATATGGTGCATTGTAAGCACATTAAGAAACTTCAATCATAAAAAAGATGAATTAGAAAGGAAATGTTATTGAAATGCAAAATCAATAATAACAACTGCTCTGAAATGTATAATTCTTCAGACTTCAGTGGAACATGCAATTATTGAATGTAAAAAATGTTTGCTAGAAGAGCAAAGTAGCACCAGATATGATTAATAGTTCTGAAAGAAATCACTCTGACCAAATGGCCAACTAGAGCTTCATGAATGACCCAGTGAGTAGCTGATTAGTAAAACAAAAGAAAACAAACTAGCTAGACACCTTCCTTCTTCTCTTGTATTAGGTAGTGAGGAGTTACTGGATATAGAGGCCTATACCCAGGAGAGAGATGCTACATTCTGCCTACGCCATTTCAATAGATGCCCAGACAGACTAGTCTCCCAGCTCCTACATTCATTTATTTTTCCCTCTTTCAGTTACTATGGTATTTATGGCTCCACCAGCTCTCAGAAAACAGAGACATGTCCAGATCACCTCTTGTGATGAAGGCTTTATGAAGGTGCATGGGTAGGTAGGGGGTAAGAAATAGAGCAGAGGAAACCATTTTAACAGGTACACTGTCAGGACTGATAGGCTGATGACCTCCAAATTCATATCTGCAGCCCTAACTTATCTCCTGAACCTCAGACTCCCATTTCTAACTAGCCACCAAATTTCTTCCCCTGAATGAATGACATTCATTGAAACTTCTCAAATTTAATATGTCCAAAACCAAACTCATTGGTTCTTTTTTGGTTTTTCCCCATCTCAATAATCTTATTCAGCTGTTGAGAACAAAAACCTTTGCATAGCGGAGCGGCTGGGCCCGTGAGCCATGGCCGCTGAGCCTGCGTGTCCGGAGCCTGTGCTCCGCAAAGGGAGAGGCCACAGCAGTGAGAGGCCCGCGTACCAAAAAAAAAAAAAAAAACCTTTGCATAATCCTTGACTGCTCCCCCTTACCCAATCCATCATCTACTCTTGTTGGTGCTAATTTCAAGATGTACCCCTTCTCTATTTTCCGTATCTTCCACTGCTACTACCTTGTGCGACCACCATTGTTTCTTGCCTGGGCTGCTGAAGTAGCCTCCTTACTGCTCTCCTGCTTCTGCTCTTGACCCTCTATAATCGAGTCTCCACACACAAACCAGAGTAATTCCTCTAACGCACAAATGTGATCATGCCACCCCCTTGATCAAAATCCTCAAAAACTTCCTGTTGCATTCAGAATAAAATGAAAAATCCAATCATGGCTTACAAGTCCCTGAATGAGCTGCACTGTCCTTTCCCCTTGATCTTACCTCCTTTCACGCTGCCCCTTGTTCATCGGGGTTCAATGTCATGGACTTTTTTGGTTTATAAACATCTCAAACACACTTCTGTATCAGAGCATTTGTACTTTCCACTTTCTCTGCTTGAGAAGCTCTTTATCCAGTGGCCTCACAGGTAACTCAGTTCCCTCCTCAGAAAGGTCTTCATTTCCTGATAACTGCCCATCCTACCATCACTATCCATGTCCTTATAACACTGCCTTAATTTTTTCCATGGCACTCATCATTATGTACCTAGAATGAGGTGTCCATGACAACAGTTTTGTTCATTTGACATTCCCAGCACTTAGTACAGTTTCTGGCACATAATAGGTGCTCAATAAAAACTTGTTGAATAAGTGAACTGTAATGAACTGGGGAATCCAGCCACATTGTCATCTGCTGGGAAGAGGATGTCCCTTAAACCTTGTTCTACTAATTGTCATACTTGTGACTCTGCTTCTGTTTCTCTTTCTCTCTCTGCTTGATCCCCCTTTAACTCTTACATTCTTACTTATCCGTATGCTTCTGTTTTTCTAGTTTTACTTTTTCCCACTCCCTTCCCCTCTAGTCAAAGAGAAAATCTGATTTGGAAAATCAGTTACCATCCAGAATGATGCATAGATTTGGCTGGATTCTTAAGAAAGGTTATTTCATGGACCACTGGAACCATTAGGTGGTTGCCTCTGACTAGAGCCTGGTTCCTCCAACAGTTAGTTTCTGGCCAAGATGGCAGCATCATGGGAAACAAACTTGGCAATGTAAATAGAAGAATCTGGAGATGGCTCTCTCCCTTCAGAGATGTTTCATGACTTGATCAGAACATTTACTCTTAGAAAGTAATAGTAGAGTTAGTTCTTGGTCTTGCCATCTTTCTAGTCATAACATTATAGTCATTCAAAGTTGTCAAGTTTAAAGATTAACTAGTACAACTATCTAGTGATGCATCAAACATCACTTCCATCTTTTCCACTGCATCTAAACTCAGAGTATTAGATTGGCTATGTTCTCTTGAAGTTCTAATATATTAGGCTTAGGCTGTAGCCAAATAAGCAAAAGTTCCAGGTGATTCTGCTGTAGCAAGTCTAAAAACTGACCAGACTCCAGATATCCAATCATCTATCTAACATGTCTTTCTTATGTCATAGGTTGAATAAATGAAATGAAATCTCATGGAAATCAAAGATCATGAGATCAAAATTAGCATGTTCAAAACTGACCTTCTGATCTCCACAGCGAATCAATTTGTCCTTCATGTTCCCCTTCTCAGAAAGGTGCTTATTCCTGAGTTCTGGGGGTCTCCAAGGACTGACTCTCTCTCCTTCACTCTCTTCATTAGTAGAGCACCAGGTCTTGTGGATTGTGCCCCATTAATACCTCTCCCACCTTCCCCTCTTCTATCTCCAATGTCACCATCACAATTCAAGTCACATTCATTTCTTTGCCAGGATATAAAAGGTTACTCTCCATTTAGTCTCTTCCCTCTACTTTCCATCTGTTTTCTATACTGTACCCAGAGTGAACTTCTTAAAAACCGGATGTGATTATGCCACTTCCTTGGTTAAAACTCAATAGCTCCTCACTGCCCTTAGACAAAATTCCTATTCCAGAGCAAAGTTTAAAAAGCTTACTGCCCTGTGGCTCCAATATGCCTCTCCTCTCCTTACCCACTAGGTCCCAGCCACATTGGCATTCTGCCAGGTTCTAAATGCACCAAGCTCTTTCCTGAAGAGTCTGCATACATTCTTCATCTAGAATATTCTCCCTTGCCTCCTTCTTGTCCTCATTCTTTATTTGCTTAGTTCCTACTTATCATTCAAGCCCTGTCCTTAAAGGTCAGATCCTGAAAGGAGCTTTCCCTAACCCTCCATTCTAAATTATGTGTAGCTATGAACTTTCTATTAATAGTTACACATTCTCTATAGTTCTTTCACTGCAAGTAATCACAATATTCAATTATTTATTAAGTGTCTGTCTCTCCAACTACACCAGAAGTGATCTACATGGCAGCAGCGACAGTGCCTATTTTGTTTATTACCTTATCTGCA